TAATTATGATTTGGATATAATATAATTTTATTATATTTGAATTAAATAATTATAATTTAATTTGAATTTGAATTAGATTATGGTATAATGAACCTGGACTTGATTCTGGGCAAGGTTCATTTTCTAGAATAAATAAATAATTAATTAATTAATTAACTAAAAATGAGAGTTTGTTGAGGGATTTTTGTTAGGCCTTTCACTATAAACAGGGTCTTCATTTGACATTCCAAAACACAATATTGAAGACTTGAGGAATTGAGAGCATTTGAAAAACTTGAAGGCTTTGAAAGCATTGAAGAACGCTTGAAGATTGAAGAGCATTTTTGCATATTGAAGATTGAAGGCGTTTGAATATCTTGGAGAATTAAAGGCATTGCAGGTACTTTGAAGCTTTGCAGAGTTGATTGTTTCGAAGCTTGACGTTTGCTGTTGAAGATCACGCTAATTGAATCCCAGAAGCTACGCCGTTTGAATCCCGGAGGCACGCGCCACTTGAATCCCGGTGGCTACGTTACTTGAATCCTGGAGGCACTTCAGTAGAACACGTTAGTGAAAAATCAGAGGACTACACAGAGATTTTGTACCCGCGCTTTAAATTATACACACACTGTAAATGAATTTTGTGAAATATATACAAAGTTTATTTTTTGTGTTTACACAAAGGTAATTAAAGAAAAAAAAAATTGATTGGGTAATCATTTAATAACCCAGTATACAATATATGTTGGAAAAAATAGCTTAAAATGGCATAAACTGGCATGTTAAGTGGCTATTTTGTGGTACAATTATCAGTGGGGTCCACTTCCGATTTGGGTCGGGTCAAAGTGGATTCGGGTTCTTCGTAGTGAGACGAAGAGATTGATATATTGTACGCTCAAAACGGATAATGGGTGAATGAGATATTGATTCTCAAAGTAGACCCATTTGAGTTGGAAAATGAAGGGAAAAAGTGAACTTTTGTCCCACATTGCCTAGATGGTTTCAGCCTTGTGACCTGTACGGAATTAATTCCAATCTTAAATTTTGAATTGAAACCCATGGTAATGATTGCTGTTACCAAGTGTAGTGGGGTTGCCCTTAAGTGCCTAATTAAAAGTTATTTAAGTCCTCCACTCCTATAAAAAAAGGAGTTGGGCAGTAGAGATTTCACACACAGAAATAGAACACGAAAGTTCTTCTTTTTAGCCTCAAAACCTCTCTGCTTCTACTCCTTCTTTAGCCTCCTGTGTTCATAGTCGTATCTTGCTCGCCGGATTCCTTGTTTGAGTGCTCAAACAATGAATCACTAGCAAGTTTTATCCTGGGAAATCTAGGCCACAACGCTCCTAACATCTTTGGGAGGTGGCAAATAAGGTTTTAAGGAAAGAGTGCTCACTTGACTCTTGCAAAAATCCAACACCAAACACTAGCCAACTTTCTCCATCTTTCCTTCCCTTGTTTTTCCAGAAAATAATAATCTTATTTTTTGATTATTATTTGTTTTTCCTACCAACGGTACCAACAATATAGACATAATTGAATGAGTAAAATCGTCATTTTCTCATTTTAATTTTCAAATGAAATAAATTTGATCTAAAACGTAACACTAGAGTGACATATTTCAAATACAATTCACAAAAAAAAAAAAAAAAAAAAAGAACATATCTCTTACATTGCATAATATTTATTACATGATTTGTATTAAATTTTTAAAATATTTAATTATTATATAAATTCTTTATTAATTTAATTTATAATGAGATAAATCAATTTATGGATAACTTTTTTTTTTTTTTTAAAAAAAGAATTTTTTAAATTAACATAAATATTGGGAAGTATGTAATGATATTAGAGAAATATTCATAAAATCTAAAATGAGAAATGTTTTCCACCCATATAAAAATTACACAAATTTTATTCTGATGCAACTATTTTGTGGGGGTCAAATCTTTCTTTTTATTTAATTATTTCAAATCTCGATTTATTAGAAATTTGTCATATTAAAAAGAGGCAAAAAAGGAGTGCTTTTGCTCCACCAATGTGGTTCAAGTAATCGACTAATTAAGTCGTTCCGGACTTTGACCAATTAGTGGTGATGAAAATCTTTGTGTGTAGAAGTTATAGACGGTAGGAAAACCTACATTAATTTGGGTAACTCAAAATTTACATCCTTTATTGGGCTTGGGTGGATTCATGAAAGTCGAGAATATAATTTAACTGAATTAAGAAATCTAAATTAATAAAAAAAAAATGAAAAAAAATTGCTTCTTAACAGGGTCGTTTCATTACAAATAGTACGTGGTCATGTGCGATGGTGGTGGTGGTGGCGATGGTGGTGGTGGCGATGCATGGTGGTGGTGCTGGTGGCGGTGGTGCTGGTGGGGGGTGAGGGTGGTGTGGAGGTGGGGGTGACAACGATGGTGAAATAGAAAATAAATTTAATTGGGGGGTAAAATAGAAAATAGCAACTTTAGGCTATTCCTGATAACTCAGGAATAGCCTAATACCAGGGGCCCCCTTAGGAATCTCTATTCCCCTCGCAATGGGAATATGTTATTCCAAGGAACATTTTTCCTAGGAATAGATGTTTTTACCAAACAAAGGAATAACCCTATTACTGGAAATGCTATTCCATACAGGCCTATTCCGCGAACCAAACGTGCCATTAGTGAAATAGAGATTATGTATTGAATTATCAGAATAAGAGATTAGAGAAATAGAGATTAGGTATGGAATTATCAGAATATCATAATAATAGAAGATTATGTTGATGCTTTGTTCCTGCGTGAGTGTGTGATTACTGTAATATTGCTCTAGCCTCATAATCTCAATAATATATGTATATAATTTTACTTTTTTTTTTAATATTTTTTTTTAATATTTTTTTTTTACAATTGGGCCCCCAAATTTTGGGGGCCAATTGTAAAAAAAAATAAAAAAAATACATGTATATATACTAGAAAAAATGACGAGTTTGGTCCCTGAGTTATAACCGTAGTGACGACTCAGTCCCTATGTTATTATCGTATCCATTTTTAGTCCTTTGGTTATGAGAGAATTGGCGAGTTTGGTCACTGACACTAGTGTGTTGATAAAATTAATTCCATGTGTAAAGAAATAAATTCCTTAAACTTGTAAACTTAGTCAAAATACTTTACCAAAATCGACAAAAGCCTAAGTTGCTTAGGTAATCAGCGAAGAAACCCTACTCTCGTTCTTCTAAAAAAAATCAAATTTCAATATTCCAATTTTATTTATATAAAAAACAAAAACTTAAATTATAAATTTTGACAAATACAAAAATTTGCTCCATAACATGGACAAGCTTGGTATATTTTTCCCTCGATTAGCATAACTCCATGACATTTTGATGGGTAATAAATCATCACATCTACATAAAAAATTATCCCCGAATTGGGGGAAAGATGAAGTACCACAACAAGGATATGACATCCTATAATTAATGCCTAAATTAGTTCATCAATACAGAGAATATTGATTATTTATTTAAACATATACAACAGAGAAACAACTTATTTATGAATTTCGCAGCTTAGAAGTGGACGAATTTGAGATGGCTCAAACCCTAGATATCCCACATGAGGGAACAACCGGATACCCGTGGACTACAAGCCACTTGATTTTTTCTCTATATACTATACAACAAGTTACTGCATGCTGTATAGTATATATATACATATGATATATTTGTGGGGCCCCAAAAACTGGGGGCCCTGGGCTAGGCCCTACTTCTTACCCATTTTAAATTTTCTGACATCTATTAATTGGATACTCATGAATTGATTAACTCACCACTAATTTAAAAAGATTAGTTAATAATATTTTTTATACTTATAGGTGATCCCTAATTCTATTGTGTTGAGTAAGTCGCACAATTAACCCACCAATCAAATCTCAGCTTTCTTTCATGACATCAAATCAGACTACAAATCGCCATTTGTTAAGTCTTGAAGTCAAATTTAATTAATAATTAAACCAATAGCATAATGTCATGTCAAGGAAAAGAAAATGAAGAAGAAATCAAAAGTACACAGCATCACTTAAAAAAATATATATATATATAGAGTTGCACTCGGGTGCGAATGGCTTGCCCAGGCGCGAAATAAGAATGGATTCTGTTCGTCCACGTGTCCAGATCTAATGGATGAGAAACACTGATTTTTTTAAAAAACGCGGTGGCATTTTCGTAAACAATTGAAAATCGAAGTGCAAGTAAAATGTATTACAAGTGCATGTAAAATGTATTATAGGTGCAAGTAAAAATTTACACTGAGCATCAATACTTAGTTGCATTTATAGTTCTAAGTAGTTGCACCTATAGTTCTAAGTAGTTGCACACATAGGTATAAGTAGTTGCATCTAGGTGTATGAATGTTTGCGAGTGGTTTTCAGGAGTATTACTACCCGCTGAACTCAGATCAATGAATGTTAACAAGACAAAATTACATGCACTTATAGGTGAAAGTAGGTGCACATATAGTTATAAGTAGTTGCACCTATAGTTATAAATAGTTGCACATATAGTTATAAGCACACTCAGGTGCATGAATGGTTGCGGAAAGTGAATGCCAACAAGGCAAAATTACATGCACTTATAAGTGAAAATAGGTGCACTTATAAGAGATTTTACTTGCATTTCGATGTTCAATTATTTACGAAAATGCCACTGCGTTTTTTTTTAAGTTATTAGATCTGGACACGTGTCACGCGCTGATTCGTTCGCATTTCCTTCCTGGGCACTTATTCGCACCTGAGTGCGTACCTATATATATATATATATATATATATATATATATATATATATATATATATATATATATATATATATATATATATAAATATAAGAGTGATTCATTTGAAAATATGGTTTTGATTTCCGAGTAAAAGTGGATTTGAATTTGAATAAGTAACGGGAAAGGGGACGCCTATAAGATCCTGAGAAGTGCATTACGGTTACATATCCCCTCTCTTTCAAAAAATCTGCACACTACAGTACAGCCATGGCTATCAACATTGTGGACTGCGGATCAGAGTCTCACGATCTCTTCGACGTTTATTTCTACGACGACCGTATCAAAACCCTAGTGACGCATGAGTCCCACAAGGTCGCCGACTGGATCTCCAACATCGAGTACATCCATCGCCACCGCCTCGACCGTCTCATCGTCGGCCTAGACGTAGAGTGGCGGCCGAACACCTCCCGCAACCAGAACAACCCGGCGGCGACTCTCCAACTCTGCGTCGGCCGCCGCTGCCTCATCTTCCAACTCCTCTACTGCCGCCAATTCCCGTTCGAGCTCGTCGACTTCCTCTCCGACTCCGATTACACCTTCGTCGGCGTCGGAATCCAACACGACGTGGAGAAGCTCGTGGCAGACTACGGTCTGGAGGTGAATAACGCGGTGGATTTGTGTTGCCTAGCCGCGGATGAGTCCAATAATAGTTCTCTGAGAAGCGTGGGTTTGAAGGATCTGGCTAGGATTTACCTTGGATCGGAGATGAGTAAGCCGAGAAGGGTGAGGTTGAGCCGGTGGGATCAAAGCTGGCTCACCGATGAGCAGATTCAGTATGCCTGCAATGATGCTTTCGTCTCCTTTGAGATTGGTAGGGTTTTGGATGCTTCTGAGTATTGAATTCAAGTATATATATATATATATATATATATATATATATATATATATATATACATGATGCCTATTATATTATATCGTTGCCTTCTGTTTTCCTTCTCTTTTTGTTTCGATCATTTCGTGTGTTCAGTTCAACTTGAAAGTTGGAATACTGTTCACATCTCAACTAGTGATGCTTGTTACGGCTGGATTTGAAATCATATCATCACATGAATGTTGAGAACTCTGCTTAGCTTCCACCATGAAAGGCTAGTAGGCTACGGTTAGAGCGATGTGCGGTATTTTTATAATTTTGTATTTTGTATTTTGTATTTTAAAACACTGTTCATTTTGGGTAGTTATCATGTAAAAAAAGCGTCAGTCGTATCTTTCGTTGGGTTTCTTCCCTATGTTTAGATTCTGAAATGATATGATTGCTAATGACATGACGGATCAAATCATCGAGCAATGCATCGACGTCACAATCATTATTATAAAGTTTTAGTATATGTAGTCTTAAATTTTAGTGATAAATGGTTAATCTTCTTTTCAAAAAGATGAACAACATCAATCCTAAAGGCTTTCACACTCTGACCCGACAGAGTATCTTGAAGAGGTAAATTATGATAATTCAATTGAATATAATTATTTTTGTTTATTGTGCATAAGGATCCTCACACTATTGTTAATGAGACTCATTTCTTGTCATTCTTTTCAACTTTTACTTTTATGACCAGTTGAACTGCACATGCAGGTTATAAATGCTGCACACGGTTAGGGTGGTATATCATATTTTTATATTTTAAAATAATTTTAATTTTGCGTGACTATCCTGTATAAGAGCATCTCCAATGGGGGCTTCAAATCTTCAAATTTTAACTCCATATCGCATTTTTTGCAACTCCAATGTGAGTCTGCAAAACTTCATAACGCCAAAATGTTTGGCGTTAATGAACAGTGCTACGTCAGATTTGGCACAGCACTATTCATTAACGCCAAATGGAAAAGGGTAGAAAATATACCATTTTACGCTTGTTTTTTTTTTTAATTACAATTGTATCCTTTATTTGTTTTATATGTAATTTTTTATTTTATTAAATATTTATATTTAAAGTTTGTATAATTAAATAAAATTTATACCATTTTAAAGATAACGATCGAAACAAGACTAATATTGAATATATATCAATTAAAATTTCAAACACATAGAACATAATAAAAGTTAAAATACATACAACATATGTAATTTAATGTACTAGACATTGTATGCTATATTATTATTGTGGAATAAATTAAATTTTGTTAAATTCAATTTTTTAAAATAATTAATGTTATAAAAATATTAATGTAAATAAAAATTATTATTTACATCACAAGTTACATTAAACTAATTAAATTCGAAATAATAGTTGAAAAATCAAATTATTTTAGTGTAAAAATTTAGTGTTTTGGTGTAAATGAATTGAAGATGAATAAAATTTAGTGTGAGAATATGTTGAGAATATTTCTTTTGATGTGACATTTACTAAAAAAATTTAGTGTTTTGGTGATAGATGGGTTGGAGATGCTCTAAAAGCCTCAGACATCTTTTTCGTTGCGCTTCTGAACTGATATGACATCACGGATCAAATCATCGAGCAATAATGCACCGACGTCACAATCATTATCAAAAAGCACCACTTTATTTTAGTCGTCTCTTTAGTTTTTTCTTTCGTGTCAAATCTCTTCTGCTTTTTGTTTGTTTTTTCCCCTTATTTTTATTATTATTGTTTTTTCTTTATTTATTTGCAAAAGAGTAACATTTTATTATTACTGTAAAAAAAAATATACAAATACATTAATTCTGTTTATAAGTTTGAACTTTAATTTATTCCAACCTTATAAGGCTGCAAATAAAATTTTGAATTTATTTTAAATTAATTGATCAGTAAAGTTAGATAATTATATCATATTTACAAATTTAATAAGAGTCAATGTTAAGCACTTAATTGGAACAAAAAAAATGTCGGTATAATTGTTTCTTAAAATGAATGTGGTTTATATTATTTTGATTTTAGTATTATTTAATGATTTTAGCCAATAATGTTAGGCAATTAATGATTTTTCTTATTTACCTTTTAGTATAAATTTTGATTAGTATAATTGTTAACTATTTATTATTCTTAACTTACTTATTATTTTCTATAAAAGGTCTTAGGTTCGAATCCTATCCCAATTAAAGTTGGCATAATTGTTAAACATATACTACAAATATGTTAAAACGTATTAAAAAATATATATAATATAAAATTTAACATAAATTTTGGCCAAATAATTAGCCCGACTAAATACATAGCATTCAAAGTTGAGCATCAAAGATTATATATCAGAAACTTTAAAAATCATTTGATTTTCTTGCATTTAAAAAAAAAATTTACGTTAAGTTTTTTTTTTTTTTTTTTTTCGTTTAATTAATTTTCTTTTAATTGAATAAAACTTAATATTTCAATTATGTTTTGCATTATTGGAATGATTTAGGTCATTATGGTATTAATATTTTTTGTATGTATTTTTATAATGTTACAATTGTACATTACTTTTCGAATATTATATTATTTTTTTATTGAACAAAATTGTTCTTACAATATTGTTAGACCTGCGCGATCTAACTGCAAAGTTGTTGATCATAAATACAATTACACATCAACTCTAAAAGGGTACGATCATTTTTCAAAGAATTGACAATGTTAACATCCTACTGACCCCAATTGAATAAGTTTATACATCAGAATATTATCAATGCATGAAACTTCTAAAGAAATTTGTAAGTTGTTTTTAAAACAATAAATTTGTAAGTTAATTTAATTTTTACTATATCATTAAAACAATATCTATTGTGACTATATATTTTGAATTATTTATTATGAATTGCCAGCAATTGTAGCAATTGTCATTGACAAACTCTCAAACAATTTGTTTCAACAACGAATGGAAATTAAAAAAATCAATGATTTTATTATTGTTGATGAAAAGTATGTGCTACTAGCTCTATTACAATGTAGTATCTGTTCATATACTTTCTCAACCTACTGAAACAGTCAAAGAGCTAATAACGCCTCCACTGAGGCTCGAACTCACAATCTTCCAAATAGAAGTCCAGCCCGGGTACCATTGGACCACATAGTCCTGGTATGTACACCACTTTATTACTCTTATTAAATTAAAAAAAATTAGTAGCTATAACAAAAAATAATACATTTGCATTTAATTAATTTAGAATTAGATGTCTATAATGCCATTATTTTAAAAAATTATTCATTATTAAAAAAAAAAGTTAAAAGGAGATATAATTTCATTTGTTATATTATCTTTATTTTCTACAATTCAAAGATTCCTTAACTTCAAATTTATTAATTTATTATATTCACTACATTGTCTATTGTCTTCTTTTTACATCATCTTGTAATTAAATATCAAAGTTATAATACAAAATATGTTATATATATTTATTTACCAAGTATTTTATACAAATATAATAAATATTAATATTTTGTTCAATACTTTCACATGATAACATACGATTAGGGGTGTCAAAGTGGGCCAAAGCCCGCGGGTTAGCCCTCACCCACCCCGCGGTGGGACATGTTAGGGAGGTAGGAAATTAGGCCCGTGAAAATGCGGGCCTAACGGGCTTGGCCCGCGGAGGGCCAAAGCCCACGCGGGCAAACCCGCACGGGTTGCGGGCCAGGTCAAGTTTAAAAAAATACAAATTATATATATATATATATATATATATATATATATATATATATATATCTTCATTCTTAGGCAGTGTGTAGATCTGACCCATCTAAGAGTGCGTAGAAGAGGAGAAATCCAATTAATTCAATAATCATTCGCCAATTCTTAATTCAATAATTCCTAGAGTACGCAGTTCTCCGGTTCTCCCGTCTCCTTCAAAACTAAATCATCAATTCATACATATTTATGAATTACTAAATCGCCTCAAACTCCAGCAAACATACATATTTATATATGTATTATACAAAGAAGGGGGCTGTAGAGGGAAAACATGAAGCCGAGAGAGAAATAAAGTGTGTCGTTGAACCCTAACTTTGATCACCCTTCTGTAGTTCTGCTTAACGCGCGGTATCGATCGGTGAGATTTGGGCGAGGTTGATGGATTTTATGGAAGTTTCCAGTGCATCGAGGTGTATCATACACCGTGAGGATGCGAAAGAATGACCAATAAATAGCGATATATTTCAAGCGGTTTTAACAGGTTTATATAATATTTACTATTTCTTTTTTAAATTGAACTGATGGCTCGCGGGCCAGCCCGCGAGACCCGCAAGCCCGCATGGGGCAGGCTTGGGCTATGTAGTCCCAAGCCCGCAGGCTTTACAGGCCGGACCGCAAAAGCCCGCGAAATAAAAATTCAGCGGTGGGGCGGGCCGGCCCGCATTGACACCCCTACATACGATACACATATCACAACACATAAAACATGTAGGGGAAAAACTACCACTACTAAATATCAATAGGTTTTTGTAAGATAAATAGTTATAGTATAACTAAGATCACAGTCATATACACGGCAAGGTAAATCTAAAGCTTTGTACACTATAATCTCATTGCACGATGTAACCCTCTATGCTACCACCAGTAAACCAATTGCACATCACACAAAACCAATAATTTTTTTTTTTTTTTTTTAAAGGACATGTATTGAAGATGAAGATAGTGATAATGCTACTCAAAAAAGAATTAGAGAAATTTAGATCAAAAGTAGTATTTATTTAGGGGAAAAGGGTCAAATAAGCCCTCCAACTATTGCTAAGAAGTCAATTAGGCCCTCCAACTATTTTAAGAAGCAATTACACCCCTAAACAATGTATTTTGATGCAAAGAAGTCCAAATACAGGTAAATGACCTGCTATCCCAGGTCATCGCAAATCCGGCGACACTGTGGTGGCCTTCTAGACCGGAGTGGGCAACCCAGAAATCTGGGTTGCCTTCTCTGGTCGAGGACCGGAGAAGGCAAC